ACGACATTGAAAGCTCTTTACATACTCTTCAAAAGGACAAACGAAACCATCTCTCTCTCTCTCTCTCTCTTTCTCTCTCTCCTCCTCTCTCTCACTCGATGTAACTCGATCTGTAATAATAAGTTCAATTAATTCATATATGAGCTATATTTCAATATTCATTACTCGTACTCAAAAATCAAAAGTTTATGTAACAGTAACAACTACAGATTTTCACACAATGCGGACAGTCAATCATCAATATCGAAATACTGCAATTACACTTGACCTCGTTATACACATTAAAGATGACGTTAAAAAATGTTAATGTAAAATATAATTTATAATATATATTTATTTATTTACCTACTAATATATAATATCATGTATTATTATTATAACCTCGCGAGACACCACGCGAACACACGTCATTGACTTCTATTATGCTGAAAAAACATTGAAGATAACGTTAAAAAATATTAAAAAATATAATTTATAATATATATATTTATTTATCAATATAATCACACACACATATATTCATCATATATTAAAAAAAATTCTACTAACCTTGCGAGACACCACGCGACACGTACACACGTCACATCGCACGATTTAACACACGCGAAACTCGCCAAACTCGCCGCGATCTCGCGATCGCCGTCAATCTCGACCGCGCCAGCCAATCACGCACGCGGAAAAGCGACAACACTACGTGCGAGATATTCGCAAAGCTCACTTCTCGGTCCAAATGGATTTTTTTATTATGGATTAATGACAAAAGACATCTCTTGCGAAATTTCGAAACCTCATTGAAACTATAATATGTATGTACACGCCACTCTTTATATCACAGTTGACTGAAATAAAACAAAAGATCGTTCAAAGCAGCGTTGTTCAACAGCTTCCACTGCTCACTGACAGAATGTAACACGTAACAGCCAATATTGTAGAGCGCAGAATTAGAAACAAGGGCGATATTATAGACACAGTTTTCCTAATGATTAAGTGGTCTGTAATAATTATTATATTACATATTTATTACATTATGTATTATATATTTATTTTATTAGAATTTATTACAAAATCTAATTTGTGTTCTTTTGAAAACAGTGTAATACAGATGTATGTAACATGTTCTAAACTTTTACTCATAATAATATACAGGGTGTCACTTAATTCGTGCTTACTATTTACACAGCAATATTCCTTGTAAAAAATTGAGTAAAAAATTCTTGATCAATTTTTTTCTATAATGTTTAATAAAGTAGTAATTATTGAGTAAAGTCAATGCAAGTAGTTATCGTTAAGACGGAAATAAGGATGGGAAGTCTCGATTTTTTATCGACTTCCGACGAGTCAATGAAGTCACAGAAATAGACGCGTATTCCTCGTTACGGATCTTCGCAACACTCAATAAGATGCGAGGAACTTGGTATCTTTTAATGCTAAACTTGAAAAACAGATATTGGCAAGTGCCTTTATCTTCGTAAAGCAGAAAGATTACCGTGTTTATCATGCGAGCAAAATTCTGATGCAATTCACGGTCATGCCGTTTCGGACTGCACTTCGCCCCCGCAATGTTCCAACGCCTATTGGACACCGTACTCGGATCAGAGCTGGAACTCAATGTGTTTGTCTGCCTAGATGTCATCGTTAGACAAATCTTCGACGAATATCTTTGCGTATTACAAAAAATATTCCACTGTCTCCGAAAAACGCGCCCACGACTCAATCCCGACAAGTGCCGCTTCTGTGTCAATCGCATTAATTATATCGGACACCTCATTTACTGCGAGGAGGACATCCGGATCGACCTGAGAAGATCAGTGCCATCACAAATTGGTCCGTCTCACAGAACGTACGGCAAAACATACGACAGTTCCTGCGAGTGGCTTCTTTGGTATTGCCGATTTACCGAAAGATTCGCCATCATCTCCGTTCCGCTGATCGCACTTACACGTAAACTGGCCAAATAAACCTAGAAAATTGCCGAACAGATCGCGTTCGATCAACTAAACCCTGTGACTGCCGATGCTAATATGTCCCGACTTCACGCGGCAGTTCATTCTTATACAGACAGATTTCCAACAGGATTGGTGGCCGTCTTGACACAATACATCCCGGAAGGAGAGCGGATGATCGCATATGCAAGTCGCACTTTCAATAAGGCCGAACGTAATTATCTGGATTGAAGTATCTGGCCATCGTCTGGGGCACAAAGTAGATGCGTGGCTACCTAGAGGGATATCATTTTACTATTATCACCGATAATAATCAATCCTTACAATGACTCCAAATGCTGAAGTCCCTGGTTGGGGCGCCCGGGCGTTGGTCCTTCGAACTCCAGCAATATGATTTCGAATTGAAATGCCGGAAAGACACTCAACAAGATGGCCTGTCACGTCAACCTAGGATCCACGCCGTTATCAAACTATGAAGCGCATGATACTAATGTATATGTATTATAGCACTCCGCGAAGACTGCACCCCAGGACGTACCGGACTTCAAGATAAAGTGCGGCCGACTGTTCAAGCATGTGCTATCACAACTTTGACTTTAAGAAAACGCCGACGGCCCGGAGGGACAGTGGAAGGAGTACATCCTCAAGGAACAACGGATTTCGAACCGCTATCATGCATCCACCGCCAAATATTTGGATATCTGGAGATAGCCGAAACGATTGCGCGAATTGCAGTATAATTCTACTTGCCCGAGATGTTTCGCGACATTGCACAGTATATGTGCGGCAATGCCAGAACTGTCTCGTGCACAGACCGTCCAGGAGAAGCCCCAGCAGAAATTAAGACTTTTTAGTTTATTTTGACGAGTACTACATGCTCCTAAAATTTGGTACTTTTTTGAATACCCTGTATATTATTCGAAATTTTTATAGTATTATTTTCATTACTTCATAGTTTATTAAATATTATAAGCTTAATATTATAGATTTACTAAATAATATAATACATATAAAAACATCGAAAAATACAAATGCAAATATTATGATTTTCTTGGAAGACTAATTACTAGATAAGGAAATAATAATTCTTCAAGTATGTATATACACGTATAATATACATATATATAAACGTCTTATAGGAATAGCATTTGCTACTTATAAAATGTTATAATTGCAAAATACATTACCTAACCATATATCAATATCTAGAAGAAAGAAAAATACATAAGCGTTCAAATATCGTTGACATTATTAACAACGTCACTAAGGAAGTGTCAAATTCGAAAGAAATTCAAGTAAATTGAAATAAAGATAAAAAAATTAAAATATATGTTAAAGATGAGGGCGGCAGTGCCAAACTCGTAATCTGAGGAACCAGGTTTGAGTCTACTAGAGCCATGTAAACATGGAATGTTTTTCCGAAGCTGCGCCCCTCCGTGCAAGATAGGCTTTTGTGCGGGGCAAACTGGGCTCCGTCTTTCGGAAAGAGACGTTAAGCCGTTGGTCCAAAGGGTTAAAGTGAGAGGAGAATGGGTAGTAGTGTAAAGGTTTAGGTAACGTTCCTTATAAAAATGCCTTGCAAATCCTGCGGGGATAAGCAATAAAGATAGTTTATGAGTTTTTTTTATGTTAAAGATGAAAAATGATGCGGAAGTAAATATGAATATTAGATAAAGGCAGTAGATACATTTTTACACGAGCAACAGCAAATTTTTTAAAAGCGCAAACATATATGTTTTAAGTAAATGCCAAAGGCAGAAGATATAGTCCTATTTTCAAACAACATTTATATTTCTCTATTCCTAGAGCTTATAAAAATTTAGCGCTTTTAAATTATTTTGCCTGTCTAATCCTAGAACTTAAGAACGATTTACACATACCATTTATCTATAACTCCCAGGCATTCAAAATGTAGCATTTAAAATATTAAAAATTAAACCTAATAAACACTGAAAGAAATTGATTGTGTTTTTAAAAATGTTTTTAAAAACACATTTACGTTGTGATTCAACAAGAGTTGTAGATTTTCAAGATATGGGGTTTGATAACATGTATATTGACATTTATATGTACTTGCATGAAATGTGGTTATAATGCTATATAGTTATAGAGCTATACGCCATTTTTATAAAAGTTATGTCATTGGCATATTTTTTTAAATTCTACGTTTGATAGTTCTTGTTTATTAAATATTTTATTGTTTTTTAAATATGAGACTTGTTTATTAAATATGAGATATATAATGAGGCAGTTATCATGCCTACCGTTTTGAAAAGTGGTGTTTCGAGAAAAACGAGAAACCGCTACATTTTTTTTGTATTTTTTTTTTTAGTATATGTTTTCTTTCCTGCAAAAGACACACTTTACAATAAAAAAGATTCAACTTAATCGGTCTAATAGTTTTCTGGCAATCCTTCATAATTATTGGACTACTTTTCAGGGCCGAGAAACGGTTATGACCCCTTAAGAAATATTGGTTTAAAAGTTTATGTGTTACTTCAAATATAAATTCCAATATTGTGTAAAGTTGTTTGAATTATTACATATCAGTACTGGAAAGTAGTACTTTGAAAATAATAATAAAAAATATTTTATATAAAAAAATGAATCCGTTTGTATGTATAAAAAATTGAAATTAAAAGGGCCAATAACCGAGCAACAAAAGGTGTTAAATAATTACTTATTAAAAATGTTAAGTAAGTAATTATTTAACATCTTTCGTTGCTCAGTTATTGGCTCTTTTTATTTCAATATTTTATATATTTTTTAATGCATCATTACATATTTAAAACACAAAACGGATATGCTTGAAATTCAGACATCTATTGATAACAAATATTTCCGTTAACATGGAAATAGATATTTACGAATATTGTAATGTGTCAATATAACTGAAGAAAATGCATTTACGTATATTTGTAGATATTTATTAAAACACTGTCTTGTAAAGCATATATATATGTGAAATGTGTACATTACTTTTAGAGAAAGTATAGTGATTTAAACACTTTAAATAATATGGTAATTTCTGTATTAACAGAAAATGCATTTGGCCAAGTTCTCTATTTCTACTGTATAGAAAGAAATGTATACAAAATTATTTGAAACTTTATTTATTAATTATTATTAAGCAACCTAACATGATGCAAAATATTAGAAACATTTTTTCAACAATTAAAACTACATAATTAAATAAAAAATGTT